TGGGGTTGGCATGAGAATACCAATTGTTACGGACTTTGTTTCAAGGTAGATGAATATATTCTAAAATTAATTGTGGTGATGGCTGTACAACTCTGCAAACATAGTAATTCACAATTGTACACTTTTAAAAGTTGGATTTTATGGTATGTGAATTATATTTCAATAAAATTTATTTCCATAACAAGAAGCCCAGGATCACATCACTTCACTGGTGAGTTCTACCAATCATTTAAAGAATTAATATCAAACCTATATAATTCTCAAAAAAATAGAAGAGGAGGGACCAATTCCAACTTTATTCTACGGGAGTGTTACTTTGATGCCAAGTTTTCAAAAAATACACTTACAAAAAAATACAACTAGAGAACAATATTCCTAATGAATATAGATGGAAAAATCCTCAACAAAATGATAGGTACCTTCTATTCTTAGTTTACTAAGACTTTTAAAAGATGGCTTTATTGGAATTTGCATATGGGTGAATTTTCTCAAGTGCTTTTTCACCATGAATTGATACGTGAGTTGTTTTCTTTAGCCTGTTAATATAATGGATTACATTGATACTGAACAAACCTTGCATAGTTGGAAGCAACTGCTCTTGGTATAATTATTTTGATACATTCCTGGGTTCAATTTGTTATTTTGTTGAATATTTTAATCTAAATGAGATATTTGTCAATTTCTTTTTTGTATATGTAGTATAATTATGCAATGCAATATCATTCAGCCATAAAAAGATACTATGTCCTGATACATACTACAATGTGGATGAAGCTTGAAAACATGCTAAGTGGAACAAGCAAGTCTTAAAAGACCACATATTATATGAGTTTATTCATATGAAATGTCCAGAATAAGGAAATCTATAAAGACAAAGTAGATTAGTGTTTGCTTAGGGATTGGGAGGGTGGCAGTGAGAGGGGTAGTAATAGCTAAATTATACTGGGTTTCTTTTTGTGGTGATGAAAATGTTCTAAAATTGGCAGTGATGGTGGTTGTACACATCTGTGAATATATTAAGAAGTCATTGAGTTGTGCAATTTAAGTGGGTAAATTGTATGGTATGTAAATTATAATCCAATAAGGCTGTTTAACAAAGAGAATGACTAGACTCATTGGGAATATCATCAGCAAGATGTCAGAATAGAAAGCCCCAGAACCTCCTTGCTCCACAGAAACACCAACTTAACAACAATGCACAGACCAATTGCCTTTGTAAGGAATCAAGAAACAGGAGGTTCCCGCACCTCTGCAAGCAGGAAGCCAACTACATCAAAGTCTGGTAGAAAAATTCATGGCACACACTCACTAGAGCCTCTCCTTCCAGCACAGTAGGCATGATTGGGAGAAAACTCCTAATTGCCTACTTCTCCCTGGGGAGAGAGAGAAAGACTATAACATATCCAATGTTCTGACTCTTTGGGGGGCTTCCAAGAGATCGGCTTTTGTCTTGCTTAAATCTAAACTCTGAGAAGAGCAGGGTGCCAGATTGGGAGACTATGAGAACAAATGAGAGCAACATGCGTCATAGTCTGCAGTACCACAAACAGACGCTAGATGGACATCCAGCACTGTGGCTTGGTATACTACCAAAGAGGCTGCAATACCACACATAGACACCAGGTAGTGCTTGTGAGTAGAAACCTGCAAATCTCTTCAATTAGATTACACATACAAACCCAGAGAAGATGAATCTCTGGAAGTTTTAGAAGGTCTCCTGAATCTTTACTGGGTGACTGTAGAAAGTCTTCCCTGCACAAAACCAGATCACAAAGACTGGGAGAGTTGGCTGATTTTTCAAATGCCAAAGTCTGAACAAAACATAACAAGGTACACAAAGAAACAGGGAGACATGGCCCAATCAAAGGAACAAATTAAACATCCTGAAACCAACCCTAAAGAAACAGACATATGAATTTGTAGACAAAGAAATTTTAAAACTGCCATAAGGATGCTCAGGGAATTAAAAGAGCACAGATAGACAACTAACCAAAATTGGGGGGAAAATGCATGAAGTAAATTAGAATAACAACAAAAAGATATTATGAGGAAACAAGAAATAAACTTGGGGTACTAAACAATACAATTAATGAATTGAAAATTTCACTAGAGGGGTTAAACAGTAGACTTGACCAGTCAGAAGAAAGAATCAGTGAACTTAAAGGACTTCTAAATTACCCAGGCAGAGGAAGGAGAAAAAAATGAAGAAAGTGAACGGAGTCTAAGAGACACCATCAAGTGGTACAACATATGCATTATGGGAGTCACAGAAGGATAAGAAAGAGAAAAGGGGACAGAGAGCCTATTAGAAGAACTAATGGCCAAAAACTTACCCAATCTGAGGAGAAATGGACATACAAATTGAAGAAGCTCAAAAGAAAAAAACCCCAACTAAGATAAAATAGAGACCTACAGCATGACATACCTAATCAAACTGTCAAAAGTCACAAACAGAGAATCTTGAAAGAAGTTAAGAGAAGAGGAACTTAGCACATACAGACATACCTTGTTTTATTGCACTTTGCTTTATTGTGTTTTTTACAAATTGAAGGTTTGTGGCAACCCTGCATTGAGCAAGTCTGTTAGGACCATTTTCCCAACAGCATCTGCTTACTGTTGTGTCTCTGTGTCACATTTTGGTAATTCTTGCAATATTTCAACCTTTTTCTTTATTATTATATCTGTTATGATGATCTGTGATCAGTGGTCTTTGATGTCACTATTGTAATTGGGGGCACCACAAACCATGACCTTAAATAAGATGGCAAACTTGATAAATGCTGTGGTGTTCTGACTGCTTCATCACTCAGCATTCCCCAGTCTCTCTCCCTCTGCTCAGGCCTCCCTGTTCTCTGAGACACAATGATATTGAAATTAAGTCTAATAATGCTACAATAAGTGTTCAAGTGAAAGGAAGAGTTGCATGTCTCTCACTTTAAATCAAAAGCTAGAAATGGTTAAGCTGAATGAGGAAAACATGTTGAAAGCCAGGAGAGGCCAAAAGCTAGACCTCTTGTGCCAAACAGCCAGGTTATGAATGCAAAGGAAAAGTTCTTGAAGGAAATTAAAAGTGCTACTCCAGTGAACACACAATTGTAAGAAGGCAAAACAGCCTTATTGCTGATATAGAGAAAAGTTTAGTGGTTTGGATAGAAGATCAAACCAGCCACAGCACTCCCTTTAGCCAAAGTCTAATCCAGAGCAGGGCTCTAACTTTCTTCAATTCTATGACAGCTGAGAGAGGTGAGCAAGCTGCAGAAGAAAAGTTTGAAGCTGGCAGAGGTTGGTTCATGTGGTTTAGGGAAAGAAGCTGTCTCCATAACACAAAAGTGCAAGGTAAAGGAAGTGCTAGTATAAGAGCTGCAGCAAGTCATCCAGAAGATCTAGCTAAAATAATTAATGAAGATGGCTACACTAAACAATAGATTTTAAATGCAGACAAAACAGCCTTCTGTTGGAAGAAGATTCCATCTGGAACTTTTATAGCTAGAAAGAAGTCAGTGCCTGTCTTCAGCGCTTCAAAGGACAGACTGACTCTCTTGTTAGGGACTAATGCAGCTGGTGACTTGAAGTTAAAGCCAATGCTCATTTACCATTCTGAAATCCTAGGGCCTGTAAGAATTAGGCTAAATCTACTCTGTGCTTATAAATGGAACAACAAAGCCTGGATGATAGCACATCGTTTACAGCATGATTTACTGAATATTTTAAGCCCACTTTTGAGGCCTACTGCTCAAAATAAAAGATTCCTTTCAAAATATACTGCTTATTTACTTGTTGATGCACCTAGTCACCCAAGAGCTCTGATGGAGATGTACAATAAGATTAATGTTTTCATGTCTGCTAATGCAACATCCATTCTGCAGCCCATGAATTAAGGAGTAATTCTGGCTTTCAGATTTTATTATTTAAGAAATACATTTTGTAAGGCTATAGCTGCCATAGATAGTGATTCCTCTGATGGGAAAAGTGAATTGAAAACCTTCTGGAAAGGATTTACCATCCTAGACGCCATTAAGAACATTTGTGATTCATGGGATGAGGTCGAAATACCAACATTAGCAGTTTGGAAGAAGTTGATTCCAACTCTTATGGATAACTTAGAGGAGTTCAAGACTTTAGTGGAGGAAGTAACCGCAGATGTGGTGGAAATAGCAAGAGAACTAGAATTAGAGGTAAAGCCTGAAGGTGTTACTGAATTGCTACAATATTATGATAAAACTTGAACTGATGAGGAGTTGCTTCTTATAGGTGAGCGAAGAAAATGGTTTTTTGAGATGGAATCTGGTCCTGGTGAAGATGCTATGAAGATTGTTGAATAGACAATAGATTTAGAATATTACATAAACTTAGTTGATAAAGCAGCACAGGGTTTGAGAGGATTGACTCCAATTTTGAAAGAAGTTCTACTGTAAGAAAAATGCTATCAAGCAGCATTGCCTTCTACAGAGAAATCGTTCCTGAAAGGAAGAGTAAATGGATTTAGCAAACTTCATTATTGTCTTATTTTAAGAAATTGCCACAACCATCCCAGCCTTCAGTCAGCACCACCCTGATCAGTCAGCAGTCACCAACATCAAGGCAAAACCCTCCACCAGCAAAAAGATTATGAGTTGCTGAAGGCTCAGATGTTGGTTAGAAGCTTTTAGCAATAAAGGATTTTTAAATTAAGGTATGTACATTGTTTTCTTAGACATGATGCTATTGCACACTTAATAGACTACAGTATAGTGTAAACATAACCTTTGTATACACTGGGAAACCAAAAAATTGTGAATTGCTCTTTTGTGATACTCACTTTATTGTGGTGGTCTGGAACCAAATCTGCAATATCTCCAATGTATGCCTGTACAACTGAGCTCCTATTAAATTATCAGTGGATTTCTCAGCAGACAACTTTCAGGTTAGAAGGAAATGGGGTGATATATTCAATGTGCTAGAAAAAAAAACCTGCCATCTAAGAATACTTTATCCAGCAAAACTGTCCTTCAAAATTATAGGAGAAATTAAGACTTTCCCAGATGAGAGCTGAAGGAGTTTATCACCACTTAAAACACCTGTCCTGCAAGAAATGCTGAAGGCAGTCCTTCAGGTTAAGGTAAAATGATGATAAAAAATAGCACAAAACCATATGAAAATATAAACTCCACAGTAAAGGTAAATATGTAAGTATAGAACTTTATAGTATTGTATGTAATGTAAGTGCATAAATCACTTTTAAAACTAATATGCAATTTAGAAAACAAATGCATAAAAAGTCATTATGAATCTATGTTAATGGATATGCAGTATAAAAAGATCATTTGTGTCATCAATAGCATGAGGTTGGGGGGACAGAGATTTAAAGGATTAGAGTTTCTATGTGTGATTGGAATGAAGTTGTTATCAGTTTAAAATAGATTGTTATAATTTTAAGATGTTTTATGTAATTGCAGTGGTAATCACAAAATATATCTATAGAGTAAACAGAAAGGGAAATGAGAAGGGAATCAAATCATGTTGCTACAAAAAAATTTAAAAACACAAAAGAAGGCAGCAAGAGATGAAAGGACAACAAAAAACAAAGACATACAGAAAGCAATGAACAAAATGGCAATATTCAGTTTTTCACTATCAGTAATTACTTTAAATGTAAATAAACATGCCAATTAAAAGACATGGATTGGCCAAATGGATTAAAAAACAAGATCTAACATGATGTTATGAACAAGACACTAAGGTCTAAGGACACACAGACTAAAAATGAAAGGATAGAAAGGCTATTCCATGCAAACAGGAGCATAAAAAGAATAGGGGTGGCCATACTTATATCAGACAAAATAAACTTTAAGATAAAAATTGTTAAAAGAGGCAAAGAAGGACATTATATAATGGTAAAAGTGTCAATTCATCAGGAGGATGAAACAATTATAAATATGCATGAACCTAATATTTGAGCTCCCCTATATATGAAGGAAACACTGAGGAAGCTGAAGGGAGAAATGAACCGCAATACAACAATAATAGGAGACTTCAGTACTTTGATTTCAGTTATGGATAGAAAAACCAGGAAGAAGATCAATAAGGAAACAGGACTTCACATCACCATAGGACAAGTGCACCTAGCAGACATATACAGAACATTCCATCTAACAGCAGCATAATACACATTCTTCTCAGGCACACAAGAGTATTCTCATGTTAGGTCACAAAACAGGTCTTAACAAATTTAAGAAGACTGAAATCATACAAAGTATCTTCTCTAACCACAATGGAATGAAACCAGAAATCAATAGAAGAATAGAAATAGGAAGATCCACAAATATGTGGAAATTAAACTACTCACTCTTAAACAACCAAATAATCAAAGAAGAAATCACAAGAGAATTTAGAAAGTATCTGAGACAAATGAAAACAAACCCGCAAAATAAGACTTAATGGGATTAAGAGTGAAATCAGCAAAATGGTAGGATAGGAGTTTTGTACCATCTTCCCTCCTCAGAACACCAATTTTTACAATCATGCACAGATGAGAGTGCCTTCGTGGAAGTCCAGGAGTCCAGTGAGAAATTCTAGCACACTATTGGAGCAAAAATTATCCAACATTGGATGCATTGAAAAGGGTAAGAAGAAAAGTTTCACTTCACTTGCATCATCACCCTTTCCCTAAGGTGGCACAGCTCAGTGCCAAAAAAGACCCTCTCCACCCATGATTTCTCCCATGGGGAAAATAAAGTGTGAGTGAGTAAAAAGATTCCTCAGTGTGTAGAAAGCTGCCAAAGAAGCCCACTTCTTTCTCACCCCATCCAAAATGCGTAAGTGTGCTGCATGACTGGCCAGTGGAGAAGGGCTGGCAGAACAGCAACCAGGGCTCTTGGAGGGCACCAAAAGGATGTAGATCCTAGTAACCCTTTCACTGATTCCATCATGAAACCCACCCACAAGCTGCTGGGGACACCTCATTTGTGGATCCCCCCAACTGGCCCCCAATACTCCATGCTCCTCATGCACACACACACCTTCACCACGTGGCTGGCTCCCTGTGTATTACTCCAAGGGAAACACATGTAAGCTTTGCAAATGGTTAATGAGAACACACGGAAAACTGCCCTGTCTGTGGGACTGGGAGAAAGCACACAAAACTGAACATTTGGCAGTGCCATAGGGAAAGCAAATGGGAGGCTGTCAGCACCCAGCCTGGCTTTGTATTATTGAGAGAGGGCATACAAACTTAATAATTGCCCCCTCCCCCCAGAGTGAACAAGAAGTGTGGAGTAGGAATATTTATAGAAAAGGTCTGAGAAACTCTCAGAATCACTAGCAGCGATGACAGAAGGTATTTCTTACCTAAAGCCAATCAGTAAAGACTGGAGAAGGTTACTGCTTCTTCAAATATGAAGACAGCAATATAAGCCTTAAAGGAACATATAAAATCAAGGAAACATGACACCACTAAAGGGTCACAATAAGTTTCTAGTAACTGATCTTTCAAAATGGAGATCTGTGATTTGCCCAGTAAGGAATTCAAAATAGTTTTTGCAAGGAAGCTCAATAAACTACAAGAAAACAGAGAAAGACAATTAAAAGGAACTAGGAAAACAATATAGAAGCAAAATGATAAGTTTCACACAGAGAGAAATCATAGAAAAGAGCCAAACAGAAATTATGGAGCTAAGGAATACAATGAATAAAATGAAAAATGCAATAGAGAGCATCAAAAACAGACTTGATCAACAAAAGAAGCTGTGTAGTCAAAGGCAAGTTATATGAAATTATCTAATCAGGAGAACAAAGGAAAACAAATTAGAAAACATAGTTAGGATACTCTTTGGCATAAACTGTAGCAATATTTTTTTTGAATCTGTCTCTTTTTAAAGCAAAGGAAACAAAAGTGAAAATAAATAAATGGGACCTAATTTAACTTAGAAGCTTTTGCACAGCACAGCAAGCCATCAACAAAATGAAAAGACAAACTACTGAATGGGGGAAAATATTTGCAAATGATATGACTAACAAAGGGTTAATATCCAAAATATATAAATAGGTCATACAATGCAACATCAAAAAAAACCAACCCAATTAAAAGGTGAGCAGAAGATCTGAATAGACATTTTTTCCAAAAAAAAACCCCACACACAGAAGGTCAAAAGGCACATGAAAAGATGCTCAACATCATTAATCATTAGAGAAATGCAAATTAAAATCACAGTGAGATATCACCTCATACCTGTCAGAATGGCTATTAGCAAAAAGAACACAAATAACAAGTGTTGGTGAGGATGTGGAGAAAGGAGAACCCTCCTACACTGTTGATGGGAATGTAAATTGGTGCAGCCACTATGGAAAACAGTACAGAAGTTTCTCAAAAAACTAAAATAGAACTACCATATGACCCAGAAATTCCACTCCTGGGTATTTATATGAAAAACCCAAAAACAATAATTTGAAAAGATACTTGCACCCCAATGTTCATAGCAGCATTATTTACAATTGCCAAGATATGGAAGCAACATAAGTGTCCTTCAACAGATGAATGGATAAAGAAGATGTGGCATACACACACACACACACACAGACACACACAATGGAATACTAAGGCGTAAAAAAGAATGAAATCTTGCCATTTGCAACAATGCTTGGAGTGTATTACACTAAGTGAAATGAGTCAGACAGGGAAAGACAAATACTGTGTGGTATCACTTATATGTGGAATCTAAAAAATACAACAAACTAGTGCACATAACAAAAAAAGAAGCAGACTCACAGATACAGAGAACACACCTGTGGGGTGAGGAAAGAGGGGAAGGAGAAGATAAGAGTAGGGGATTAAGAAGTACAAACTACTATTTATAAAATAAATAAGCTACAAGGATATATAGTACAACACAGGAAATACAGTTAATATTTTATAATAACTATAAATGAACTATAACCTTTAAAAATTGTGAATCATTATGTTGTACACCTGATACTTATAATATTTTACATCAACTCTACCACAATAGAAAAGGAATAATAATAAAAAAAAAAGAGTGAAGAACGGCTACTTGAATTATGGGATACCATCAAGTGAAACAATCTATGCATTATTGGAGTTCCAGAAGGAGAAAAGGAGGAGAAAGAGATAGAAAGCTTTTTTTAGAGAAATAATGGCTGAGTACTTACCAAATCTGGGGAGACATGTGAACACCCAAGTTCATGAAGCTAATAGGTGCCCCCAAAAGTCTTCTGCAAGACACATGATAACAAAACAGTCTAAAATCAAAAAGAATTTTAAAATCAGCAAGATAAAAAATTCCTCACAAGAGAACTCTCATAAGGCTGTCAGTGGATTTCTCAGCAAAATCGTTGCAGGCCAGGAAAGAGTTGGATGGTATATTAAAAGTGCTAAAAAAATAAAAGGAAAACTGCCAACAAGAATGTTTTACCCAGCAAAGTTGTCTTTTAGAAATGAAGGAAAAGTAAAGACTTTCCAAAACAAACAAGAGCCAAGGGAATTCATTACCCCTAGACCTTCCTTACAGGAAATGCTGAAAGGAGTTCTTCAGTCTGGAATGCAAGAATGTTAATTAATAAAATAAAAACGTATGAAAGTATAAAACTCACTAGTAAGGTAAATATATAGTCAAATTCAAAATACTCTAATCCTGGTGGTGCGTTAACCACTTAACTCTAAAGGTTAAAGGACAAATGCATTAAAAATAATTATAGCTACAAATTGTTAATGGATATAAAATATGAAAAGTTATAAGTTATGACATCAAAAACACAAAATGTGTAGGAAGTAAAATGGTAGAATTTTTGTACATGATTGAAGTTACGCTGCTATCAAGTCAAAATAGACTGCTATAATAATTGTAAGATGTTTTATGTAAGCATCATAGTAGTCACAAGTTAAAAATTTATAGTAGATACATAAAAGGTAAAGAGAAGGGAATCAAAGCATAGCATTATGGATAATCATCAATTCACAAAAGATGACGGCAAAAGAGGAAGAAAGGAACAAAGAAACTATGAAACAACCAGAGAACAATTGATAAGATGGCATCAGTAAGTCCTAACCTTTAAATAATTACTTTAATCAATAATTACAAGTGGATTGAATCATCCAATCAAAAG